CGACTGCTCGGCTCGCCCGGGAGTTCTGGTAATTTCATTTCACCCCGGAAAGCGTTTCTCCGCCGTCCGTTCCCCGATTAGCGATGGAAACGAAATCAAGCCAATGCGATATTTGTCGAACCGAATGGGAAATGCTGTTAACCGGCGAACAAAAAGCTGAAAATACTGCAGAGGCATTTAGAACTGTATTACGCGGTACCATCTCGTTAGATCAAGACTAGGAACAAGTTGTTTAAATATCCAAAACATCGCAGGTGGTAGACAAAGTCTTTCGCGTATCTAGGACCTTTGGAGCGTTAAACAAACAGTGGTAGATTTCTCGAGAGGATCCTTTCAAACTCCTGTATTAGGTATACCGGAGACGCGATACAAAGAACTTTATAAATATGTAAACTACGTTAAGACGCGGGCGGGAAATATGAAGCTGACAGGGCGGTTCGCAACGACCAAATAGATATCGGAACTCTTCGTCCAAAGTATAAATATTCATCGCGAAGGCGTCGATGTATCAACGGTTCCTGTCGGGATACAAACTAGTTTTAGCTGGGATTACGTTCTATCTGGGAAGACAAGTTGCGCTGTGATTCCCCGTGTCGCGAATCCAAAGGGAGGGCGTTCCATCCGTCTCGCCGACAGGCAATTTCCCAATTTTCTCTCGCCGCGCCTCCATGGAAACCATCGGCCATTACTGTACTATTCCGTCGTTGAATCGAACATGCACGGCGCCAGAATAGTCTGACATAACTCGTACGTACAGCGATCGGGCCGTCTCCGAGCATCCTCGAGAGCAATTCCGTGGAATTCGCCGTCGAGATTGCTTTGACGCCTGTCGCGTCACCTGTGGATTCGACGTCCGACCACAGCTGTTTTAGAAAATCAAATCGCGCTGTCTCCGCGCTTATTGATCTCAAAATCAATTCGTACGATCGAAAAAGTTGCAGTCAATGGCGGAATCGAGATAGCTCGTCCATATAATTACCGATACTCGTTACAGCTTCCAACCTCGATTAATCGCTTTGCAACTTTAGCGTGCCAACGGGTTGTTATCAATAAATAAAGAGAAATACATAAATTCTCAGGCGGTCGTACCTCGAAGAGATTCTCGGATAATCTCGGTTATAAAAGCTCCGGCGAGTTTGGTGCAAAGAAACGATCGAGACTCGTTTGTACCGTTACACGATCCATCGGTCACCAGGTTACGGTGACATCGAGGCATCGATCTTCTTGCGGGCGCTGAACGTTCCCTAAGAATAATTTATCGACCTTCCCGTCGCGAAAAATACGCTGCTCGAGCATCGAGTTTAAGGGCAATTAGAACGATCGTCGCGAAACGGGTCGAACGTACGGTCGTAGATCGAGATCTCGGTTCGGCAAACCCCGAGCAAGGAACGTTCTGTTTAATTAGAAACTGGCGGGCGATGTAACGGTAATAAGCAGAGCCAGGTCGTATTAGCCTTTTCGGCTGGAATCGAACTCGTCGAGATACTGCTGTTTTCAAGTACAGTTGCAGAGAAGTTCGAAACTACATGTCGAACACGTTGTGTGCACTGTACACAACGGTGTTTAATCGCTCTCGATGGAACTCGCGAAGCGTTCTGGCGATGGTCAGTATCGAACGATTGTAGAGGGAATACGCGAATAGACTGGGCGTCACTTTCGGCCGTTTTGAAAAATGAGAGGGACACGGAACAAAGGGTCGTTGCAAAATAACACGAAATAACAGGGCGAGACCGCGGAAAAAATGAGGATCACGGTTTTCAGAATGAATTTTCCTGGCGCGGAGAATAACGCGACCGCGGAAACTGTCCGAGGGATATTTAATAACAGCTTTCTTCGTCCATCGTCCGATGACGAAGCCATATTTTATTTCAAATATGGCACTATTATCTAATAATTCTTATAAATTTGCATCCCATAAATAAACGAAGTTGTTGGACAAAGAAGTGGAAGAGCTTTCGCGGTACTTATTTATGAAGTTTTCTCCAGTGGCTGCCAGTCGGAATCGACCGCTATTATTGCTCCCACTCGAGGGTCTCGGTTTAGGTCAATTTCGTTCTGCTCCGCTACCGAGGGTAGAATATCGCCCGAAGAACCGGAAGAGGACGTCTTGGACCGCTTCGTTTTCATATCTATTGTCTCGCGGAAAGAATAATGTCCGCGAATCTTAGATTCGTTCGGAATTAAAAATGTTTTCCAACGAATCGTCGAGTCCTCGTACAACTCCGACAGTCTCGAAACGGACGAACAGAGGGCTTTCTTCGTTTCCCCTGCAAACAGTGCGAGTTCGCGATTATTTTTCAACGTTCTTCTCACGTTCTGCTTGTGCTTTAAAGGCTGCGCGTTGAACTTGATCTCTTCCTCCGGAACAATTGGAGAACGCTTCCCTCTTTGTTCCGCGTAATTATTTAAACGTCCGTTATTAAACTCTCGGAGCGTACGTTTGTGAAAAATTCATGCCCGATCGGAGGAGATAAATCGGGACGAATAAGAGGAGATAGTTACCGATGGATTTTCGCCACGCGTGCAAAAACTCGTTCCAGCTGCTGCTCGGAAAACATTATGCCGATGGTTTCTCTTGTCAATCATCTCGCGACCGTCTCCCGGTTTCTTTTCAACTTTCTTCCCTCCGCGAGGAACGAATTTTTGCCTCATCGATATTCGATACTTTCGACACAGCCGTTTTACTCCGCCTTCGCTATTGTTTCCTCTCGATGGCGCGGTAAATTTCTTCGCGAACAGGCCCCTCGGTTTTGCCCGTATTTTCTCTTCGGACTGTATCTCCTTCGATCTCCAGTCTGCTGGAAACTTCGATGGAAATATAATTTTAAACTTTCCCGTTCTACACGATTTTACGATTTACAACGGCGGTCCCGATTATTTCGAGCCCTGTGGACCGACTGGCAAAATACGGATAATATTATTAACGGAGGAAGGGTTAATAAAACAGTGGTTACACTATTTGTAGCAGAATAGACTATCAGCGACAAAAATATTTAATAAGCTGGTCTATGTTGAGTAGATGCAGCGAGTGGTGGTCAGACGCCATTACCAATTCACGCTCGATCGCACACGTAGTCCAAGAATTTAAAAAAATTATTTTGTTCGATATTTTCGATACATTCGTGAAACATGAAGCACCGCGTATTTCGCTGGAAAGAATTTTCGCAGCGAAACCTTTCCCGCATGACAACACGCCGCGTAGAAGAAAAATAGAAGCACCGAACGGTTTGCAACACACATTATATATTTTTTCTCGTAACCCGCAGCTGGACTCCCTTTGGTCTGTAAATACATGTCGCTGTTTCCACGAAGCTCTTCGTACCGTTTCGTTTGTACACGCGTGAAATTTTATTCTCCGTGTTCGAATTCGAGCGAATGCCGAGAAAGGTTCAACGACCTCGGATAATCAAGTAGTTGTTGCTTCCATTTTTCCGCCATTTATCCGCGGACTCGTTGCATCGGAATTTGTTTTACGGGCGTTACTTTTTTTTTCAGGATGTTTAAAAACACGTCCCCCGGATATTTTGTAGTTCCTTTTTAATCTCGGGCTTAATCCGGCTGCATAAAAGGGCGCAAAAATGCGGAACAACGGGAGGCGGGCAAAATTGCGTTAGAACTTCCGAGGATCGTTATCATCCACGGAGATAGGATGGAGTTTGACTCTAGGAAGTTTCGAAAGGGCATCTTCCATGAAATTAGGACCCGGAACACTATACTCTTGCCCTATTAAACGCGCACACGTCGTCCATCAATTTCTTCCCTAGAATCTTGCGGTTTGAACCGACCGCCGATCGTTGTCGAATTAGCCACTCATTGATATCTGTAAATTTATGATTTATATTTATTTATGGATAGCAAATCGTTGGTATGGAAAGTTGGGAATTCTTAGAAAATAGAAAAAATAACGACTCGATACAAAATGACGATGTTATAGATTTTTTTTAAAGAACGCGTTATTTATACGTATATTATAAAGTGCCATTGCATCCCTTTCGTGAGCCAACGAGCCGATAAGCGTGCCTTAAGGGTCAGTAGGAAATAAATGTCCCTAGCAGCTTTCCGCTTTTTCCTCGTAGCTCCGTCAATTTCACGAATTATCGAATAAAATTTAAATTCTTCATCTATTACTAAACGTAAAAAAAAAAAACGAAAATTCGATTTGCCCTGTTCCGACAAAGTGGAGACCCGCGTTTAGCATGCAAATAGGATCGAACGGCATCGCATCTGAAATTCGAGAGAAGTGCGATTCTGCAGAGTTGCAACAACCGAAACTTCCGAATGCAAATATTTATCCGCGAACGCAATCTACGGGCCACAAATCTTAGAAATGTATATTGCACTCCTTGCGGCATAAATCCATGCATTGCGTGGAAAAGTAAATAGCAAAAGCTTATTCGAAACGAGGTCTAACCTTTCATATCTGAGCTTCGTGGCGCGAATATTTCTTTGAATAATCTTTCATAACACGTATGTACCGAGGGATACGATTTTAAAATGTATATTCATTAAATTATTCCTCGTCGAGATGCACAGAGGGGAGCCGATTGCAGAAAATCAATGATACGGTCGTAATTTTGCGCATTTCGAAATATCGGTACGTTCGATTTAGGAAATACTTGGAGACAACTTTCGTTTGTCGCGCGAAGTCGTTCGTTTCGCGGGTGGGAAAAAACGCACGAAATATTGGGAGGAACGATAACGCAACGCGGACCGCGAATGCGTGAAAATAATCTTTATCCTTTCGGCGGGGATCCGGTTCGGAAGCGGAACCGGAATCCGGGAAGCGGGCTGCGGGGATGAGAACGGTAACTGGGATGGGGATGCGCATGTACGCGACAGGGGAGCGGAATAAACTCCGTGCGGACGCGCTCACATCGCGGCGCACTGTCTTCCTGGCAGCACGTTTCCGCGCGGGCTCTCTTCGTCCTTGGGGAAGCTCTCCTATTTTCCTCCTCGAGACGCGTCCCGAACTTCCACGACCGTCGTAACGAGTGTCTGATTCCATCGTTCGGCTCTGATCGCGCGTAACAAGCTTCCTGTGAAATCATCGTGCGGCATATGTCACTGAGATCGAGAATCGCGGCGCGTTTCGCGAGTGGAGACGCTTGACGCCGCGGAAATCCGCATCGAACGCCGCGAGCAAAGATCCTGATCGGCTGGAGGATTTCCGATCTGCTGCACTTCGTGCTGCGCTGGGCAGCTAGGATGTCGTTCTTCAGGGGTTTGTGGAAAAGCAGCTCCAAACACAAGAGTGAGTTCGCTGTTATAGCAGCCTTCTATAGATAATGTTTCTAATCAGCGTTCAAGTTGAGGCTTTACGGCTCTCGATAAGCGGAGGAATCGCGTGCACGTTTAATCCCTTGCTATTAAGATGCCATTTATTGGATCGGGTGAATTTGAAAGTGCACGGCAGGATGACCGTAGATCGTTCGATGAGAATCTGACGATGTTTTCGTTTTTCGGGGTGATCTCGACGCGCCGGAACTCGAAACCAATGTCACGTGTTGCCTCCTGGTAAATTTATGAGTCGAATTTTTTAACATTTCAATCCGTGAGTACACATTCTGGATAACGGTGATAAATTCAATGTTTACCATTTAATTCGAACTATTCTGCAAATATAAAAAAAGTGACATAGAATGAAATAAACAATCCACGGATAGATCCACAGGCAGAAAGTTCCAAACTCGCTCCGATGAAATTTTTGACTAGAGTTTCGGTAATTCGAGGTTAATGAATCCTCCAAGGGAGATGTAAAAGTCTGCGATGGCGTTTCAACAATTGTTGACGTTAAATTAGCAAAGGGTCAGCATTTAAGGGGTCTGGTTTTAAGGGCCCTCTGGCAAATTTATCCGACGAAGCTCGATCGATGGTGTCTCAAAGGGCAGAGTAGCGGCGTAATTGAAATTCTAGTCGGACGCGATAATTGACGAAATTGCATTTTCTTGGCCGGTAGATCGAGAAAGCTTATTCACCGCGCGTTGCTGGTTACTTGGAAGATTAACGGTAACGGCGTGCAGCTGCAAAATGTCGGGAAGCGTTAACAGAGACGTGGCAGTGGCGGCAACGCGGCAGTTAACGCGATTATTCGCAATAAGCGGCATAATAGAGAGCCGCGTTTAAGATTATGGTAATACATGCCGGATCGTATGCACAATGCGCAATGTGACCTCCTTCAAAGCACTGATTATTGATCATAAAATTTGCATAATCTCGTGGCGCAGGCCGCATCGAGACGCGACGATCAAAGAAGCGAGCCCTCGATGTCGTCTCGCGAAACTATATTTTGTTCTTTTAACGAAAAAAAAAAATAAAAAAAATGGAGTATCCTTTCGCTCGAGAAATTCTTGTTCCCGGTCGTGATCGCGCCGCGATGCAAAAATCGAAATTAACTTAGGAATCTGGTTGGAGGGTTTAATTTTTCGCGTCCCCGCGAGAGACATTGTCGAAACGGCTGGCTCCCAGCGAGACGATAAAACTAATTAACCGTCCATAAGTTAGAACGTAGCCAGAAACTGTGCCTATTTAGTCTCAACTTGGAGCTCGAGTTCGTATCGGTTCGCCTCGCCCTCGCCTCGCCCTCGCCTCGCCCTCGCCTCGCCCTCGCCACGTCTCGTTCGTTTTTCCGTCGTCGAAACTTGGAAGCGATCGTCGCTATTCCCCCGATATTTGGCGCTCGCGAATGGTTTCTCGAAATCGTCGCAGGTGCCAATTTGGATGGGCGGCCACTGGAAAGAAATTGCTCGGCCATTGTCATTGAGATTCGTCCAGGGATTTAAGTGAAACCCTGTTAGGATTGCGGCAGCTGGATCTCGAGGACTGGTGGTGCAGGGTGTCCCCGTAATTGCGAGGAGAATCTCGACTGTTCGCATTGTACTGGCAAATTTAACCGTTAACGCGAGGCAATCCCGTTCGATCGTCACCTGCGTTGCATCGAACCGTTGATGTTTCAAATTACGCGTAATCCCGTTGCCTCCAGAATTTTCTCTCCTTCGGTTACCTTGCTCCCCCGACGTGATTCAAAATTTAAACTCGAGCACAGTTTCGCGAAACCTAAGCAAACTCCCTCTCGTCGACGTTAAATATTCGCGACTAATTCGCCGTGGAATTCTTTCGTTTCGACGTCCACCGGGTCAGCCAACAGCATCCGATCGCGCTCAAAAAATAATAATAATCGCTTTGTTAACTGGTTAACGCGCAACCCTCGTGTTATACAGGACTAGATATTACCGAGAACGAAATATTCATTTATCAAAATTGTTATGCGTGTTCGTACACTGGTCGATCGTGTGTTTCCATCGAATTTAAGTGACATTTTGATCGGAAAAGAGTTGAAAATAGTCACGGGAAAAGGTTATACCGATTAGATTGGAGAGCGAACCGATGCTAATGAACTTGCTAGGACGCGAATCGCACGACGATCAACGAGAGAGTGGAATCGGTATCTCTACAGCCACTGGACAGGACCGGTTTGAGTTTTACGTCGTCCAACGACGGTAGAAAATTATCGATACTCTAGAAACACGAATAATTAAGTGTCCGTGTAATCGATCTTAGCAAGGTTGTAATTCGTTGCAACTTTTCTCGATATTGTTGCTAGAACCGGTTCACGATAAAAAGCGAAATCGACGAATAATAAGCACCTTGGACAAGAACTTTTTTTATATAATTCACGGATGACAGCCCGTGTACAGTGTACAATTAACGACGAAGGGTTCATTTCCATCGGTTATAAAATACAGTGTGTCCCACTGTAAATTATGTGAAATTATGCTTCCCCGGAGCCACTTAATTCTTGCGCGAAATATTTTTCGAAGATACTCGAACGGAGTCGACGAGGAATGCAGATTTTAGGCCGAGAGTCGTGGATTACCGAAACTGGAGTCGTTCGTTAATCGATAATGGGAAGAAAGGGAGCCGTCCGCGGAGATTTCGAAACGCGTTGGCGGCGCGTAAGCTCTGAAATTTGTACGCGATACGGTATTAGACGAGATTACCGGCATTCTCGCAGAATTCCGGTACACGAGACTGGAGGCATTCGCGCTCTGTTTACGAGTCCCGAGAATCCGTTGGAATCGGCGAAAAGCTGCACCGAGGTGGCAGGTGCTTCTCGACGCCGAACAGATATCGAGCGCAACGAATACGCGTGCACGCGCTATCCTATTCATTTCCATTCCACGGCCAGACGGAAAGAGAATCGCGGGATCGCGTTCCTACGAACGAATTTATAGCGCGGCGACCCCCCTGTAAAGCTGTACGTTTTAATTCGAAATATTTCGCCCGGTTATCGGCGCGAAATTATACACGCGAGCGTCACGGTCGACGTAACGCGTCATAAAATACAGTGGCAACCTGCACTGTCGCGACAAGGTAATATCAGAGAATTTCCAAAATCAGTTCAACGTACACGAGTTACGCGCGTCGTAATTTCTGTATATTATTGTTTGATTAGCCGAATTACCCGACGTTGTTCGGGGAAATACGGCGAACCGTTTTAGCGTTTCCTGGTACACGAAATTTCTACGAGCCTCGCCGCTACGTTTCTTTGCTATTGAAGGCGGCAGTCAGGTCGATATCTCGCTCGCCATTGATTCTATCGAAAGTTTCGTAGAAAAAAAGTTGTTGAACTTGTCGACAACTTCTGTCCTGTACATTTTTGCTGTAAAAGTAACGGTACGACATCTTCTCGCAAATCTCTCTCCTTTGGAAACAATTTTGCGACGTCGAGATTTTAATATAGATACGTTTCGAACTTTATCGTTTAAGAAACCTGCACGGTTTCGATACGTTTACCCGTCGTGACTCGGGATCTACGCCGCGTAGAGGAAACGTTCGTACAATTTATGGTCCGCGTTCCCGATTATAGATAAAATTTATTTCGCTGATGACTAACGTATGGACCGATCCAATAATTAAAATCGCGTTCCCGTCGAGATGGCTCTTGCTGAAAAAGGAGATAAAGTGCATCAATGGGTAGGAGAAGTTGCACCGTGTTTACGACGTTAGATTAATGTCCGATCCCTTCGGAATGGAGACTGTATATCGCGCTGCGCCGTGACATCAAGAAGCACTTTTTCTATTATTCGGTTGTATTTCCCAAACTTTTTTCGCTTCCAGCTCCCTCGCGAGTTTCATTTATTTCATGCGCAAATAGTATATTGGATATTGACTCTGCTCGGTCCTACGGCCATTTTTAAATCGAGAGACTTTGGTCTCCTCTTAGCGAAGACAGTGTTGGATCTTTCTTTCAACGAATACGTTTGGAAAACTATCGGGTATTGCGAGAAGAAATTTCTTGTCGCTAAATCGTCTTAACGTTTTCGAATATCGTCTGCAAGTTTCGTTCCCTTTGCTTGTTTTGTACGCGGGGCTCGTAGCTTTCAAGAGGCACGACGCGACACCGTGGTAATTTCCGTATCGCGGAGAAGTTTAATTTTCCCGGAGAGTGAAACCTGTTACTTCGTGGAACGAGGTAAGGATCGATAGGGACGAAAGACCCGATCGAAGCTACTTAAAACACCAACGTCGTGCGGCTACCAGTACACGGGAACCGTATTCGCAATCACCATTAAAGTAGATTTTCTAGCCGATATAAATATTCATAGCGTCTGGTACTAATTGAACGGATCGTCGATGCTAATGCAAATATTCCTCCGGTCGGCGACCATTAAAGGGAACGCCCACCGACAGTCAATAATTTGCCAATTGTCGAAAACCGTTATTATTATTATTCGTTTATTCGCGGGAAATGCTCTGCGGTAGAAAAAGAAATAATAAAAATTGTATCTAGGTGTTGGAAATCCAGTACTGGCTTATAGTTATTTCGGTGGACGTATTCAGATCGTGTCCGTGACATTTGGTTCCTCTCGATGTGACCATCTGGTGTTCCCCAGGGTTCCTCATCCAGGGCTCCTGCTGTTTAACTTATTTATTAACGAACCGCCTCGTCATCCTCGTTCTCCATTATTTGCAGACGATTTAAACATTCACAAGACATCACACTAACGGGGGGGATGTTTTTTTTTTTTTTGCCCGTACGATAATAAATAAAATATTCCCGTCGCGTTCGGGCGCGTTTTATCGAACCGTCGAACAATTATGTCGCAACGTTTGGCTCTCGACAAGTTTCGCGCCGTTCGTTGGACGATCGCGTCGGGGAATTATCCAGAGTCATTGAACCGAAACTGCGACGGAAAAAAAGTATCGAAAATTTGACATCTGGCCACGAGTCGAACGTTTTAAGCCGTGCAT